CTTTCTTTCTTTTCTTTTTTTTTTTTTTAAAGATTTATTTATTTATTGTATGTATGTGAGTACACTGTGGCTGTCTTCAGACACACCAGAAGAGGGCATCAGAACCCATTGCAGGCGGTTATGAGCCACCATGTAGTTGCTGGGAATTGAACTCAGGACCTCTGGAAGAGCAGACAGTGCTCTTAATTACTGAGCCATCTCTCCAGCCCATAATGTAAGTTTTCTAAGGCCGCTAACTTTTATAATCTTAGCTTAATAAGAGACCAAAGAGGGAGAAAAAAAATTTTTCTTATGGTGTTTTGAGAAAAGATTTTTCTGTGTAGCCCTGGCTGTCCTGAGATTCACTCAGTAGACCAGGCTTTGAGCTCAGAAATCCACCTGCCTCTGCCTCCCAAGTGCTAAGATTAGGGGCACACTACTACACCAAGCTGAAATCTTAACTTTTAAATGGCTCCCAAATTTTCTGTCCTCAAGGTAATATTTTAAAACTGTTCCCAATTTATTTTCTGTCCTCTCTGTGACTAGGAAGAGGTTGTGGAACTAGAATATGTAGAAAAATACACCGCTCCCCAGCCAGAGCAGTGCATGTTCCATGATGACTGGATCAGCTCGATTAAAGGGGCAGAAGAATGGTAGGCCATGGGTACATGCTTTTGTCTTCCGTACTTCCTTCAGTCTTTGCCATCCACGGTGTGACTATTTCTCTCTGATTCCTTTTTCTTCATAAAAATAATTTGTGCTGTGTGTATTGGTGGCCACAAAAAACAGGTTTTTTTGCAGCCAGTGCATTCAAGAAAACAAGTGATTATTAGTAGGTTTCTTTGTTTCAAAATGTTGTGGTGTGAAATTTATATTCTATATAAGTCATCAGTCATTGATATTTAAAACCAGAGATATCTTCATGGAGGAGAAAAATTCATTTTTATGGCTATTCCTGCCTGCTACCATGAAGATGCAGACATACTACTGTAGAGCTAACATGGGCAGCCTGGAGTCAAAGAGGGATGAATATGAATGCAAATCATAGAGCAGATACCTACTGCTGATCATCATCCTAAGTGGTAGCTTATTTCTGTCCTTCCTTTTATTTATTATTAGGTATTTTGCTTTGTGGAGTGTATGTCAGTCGTGCCCATGCCTTTGTGCAAGTGGATAAGACATGTGGGAGTCAGAAAACAACTCTTATCAAGTTGGGTCTCACCCTCTACCATCACATGGGTTCTGGGCCCTAAACTCAGGTCACTGGGTTTTCTGGCAAGTGCTTTACTGCTTAGCCATCTTGGAACTCCCTATGTAGACCAGGTTGGCCTCAAACTCAGTGAACTCCTCCTGTGTCTGTCTTCCAAGTGTTGGTATTAAAGGTGTACTACCATGCCTGTCTTGTCTTGTTCATGACTTTTCTGGTTGGGTTGGGTTGGGTTGGGTTGGGTTGGGTTGGGTTGGGTTGGGTTGGGTTGGGTTGGGTTGGGTTGAGTTGAGTTGAGTTGGGTGGGTTTGGTTTTGGGTTTGTTTGGGGTGTGTGTGTGTGTGTGTGTGTGTGTGTGTGTGTGTGTGTGTGTGTATCTTGGTTTGTATGTCTTGTCTGTCTGATGCTGGACATCAAACCCAGAGGCTTCTGCTTGCTGGGCAAGTATTCCACCTCTGAGCTACACCCCATTTCCTCTTTAATAGTTTTCAGTGATTACTTAAGGATTGTAGGCTTTATAAGTAGTTTGCATTGCTTTAGTGAATTTTACAGTATCAACAGCAACAAAGGTGAAATACCATATTTTTAACGTAAAAATAGTATAACATCTAACCTATTTGCTTTGCTTTGAAATCTTGTTCTTCATAAAAAGAAGAGTTTACTGTCCAAAGTTTACTTTGTCGTTGCCATAAGTGATTTTCGGGTCGTCAAAGGTCTTTTGTATTTTATAGCATTTTTTCCCTCATTGTAGGATCCTGTCTGGTTCTTATGATAAGACTTCTCGGATCTGGTCCTTGGAAGGAAAGTCAATAATGACAGTTGTGGGACATACAGATGTTGTGAAAGATGTGGCTTGGGTGAAAAAAGGTAGGATTCTACTTAAGAGGGATTTAAGAGGTTAACATTGAACTAATTTTACTGTAGCAAAAGAGTGATTGGGTAAGAAATGCTTCCGGCCTCAGTTGCTATGAGGTCTTTCAGAAATGTGGTATCCAAGAAGGAAAAGATTATATATTTTAAGATTTACTTAATTTTATGCATGTGAGTATTTACTACATGCATATATATGTGCATCGTGTGCATGCCTTGTGTCACAAATCCCCAGGAACTAGAGTCATCAGTAATTGTGAGTGCCATGCATGTGCTGGGAATTGAACCTGCGTCCTTTAGAGATGCAGCCAGTGCTCTTAACCACTGAGCCATTTCTCAAGCTCCAATAATTATATTTTTAAATTCCATAGATTGCTGTTTGTTTTCCTGTGGTTCTGGAGATTGAACCCAGGGTTTGTACATGCTGGGCATACACTTTGCCCCTGAGCCATGTATAAGTTTATTAAAGTAAATCTTTACCAAAACTATCAGTGTACATTTTAAGTTACTAAATGTATTGAACACATTTTTCCTGTTTTAAAGCATCTTCTCTTTTTGGAGGCGAGGGGCAGTCACAGGTTCTCACTGTGTAGCCTAGTCTATCCCAGGACTTGCTTTACAGCCCAGGCAGACCTAAAACCTGTCGCCCTTCTGCCTCAGCCTCCTGAGGGCCAGGATTACACGCACACTACTAAGCCTGACTTAAGAATTTTCCCTTTTGGGCCGGGCGGTGGTGGCGCACGCCTTTAATCCCAGCACTTGGGAGGCAGAGGCAGGTGGATTTCTGAGTTCGAGGCCAGCCTGGTCTACAGAGTGAGTTCCAGGACAGCCAGGGCTACACAGAGAAACTCTGTCTCGAAAAACAAAAACAAAAAAACAAAAAAAAAGAATTTTCCCTTTTTACCATGTCTGCTCTCTGTTAAAACAATCCATCTGATGACTATTAAAACATTCACAAGAATGCTGAGTGATAAAGAGTAAGATGCAGTTGAGATTCTGTACTAATTTGTTTCTTGTTTTCCTTTGTTCTAGACAGTTTGTCCTGCTTACTACTGACAGCCTCGATGGACCAGACCATCGTCTTGTGGGAGTGGAATGTAGAGAGGAACAAAGTGAAAGCTCTGCACTGCTGCCGAGGGCATGCTGGGAGTGTGGACGCCATTGCAGTCGATAGCTCAGGAACTAAGGTGAGCAGCTACTGTGCTGTCACTGTTGTGTGTATCTGTGTTCATCCTAATGCTGTCTAACGTGCATAACAACCAGAAGCTAAAAATACTAAGACTTTAGACTCAAAGTAAATAGCCATAGAATAAAAGATAGATTTACTTTAGTTCTTCAGTTGGTATGTCTGTCTTTATTATATAAATTATATTTTAAAAATTGAATTAGCTGGACAGTGGTGCACACACCTTTAATCCCAGCACTTGGGAGGCAGAGGCAGGCAGATTTCTGAGTTTGAGAGTTTGAGGCTAGCCAGGGCTACACAGAGAAACCCTGTCTCGAAAAAAAAAACATCTGGAACAGAGGCTAAATGTGGCTGGCATTCCCCAACCTTCTTTCTCTGTGTTCCCAAATTACTTTTGCTCATTTTGAACTTTATACTGTTTTTTTCTTTACATGGAAATACTTCATAGTTTTTAGATACTGTAATATTTGTCCCTTGGGGGGAAAAATCTTTGTTTCCTATAGGGAAAGTCTAACTTCATTTCTCATGATTAATTTGTTCTAGAAGCAGAACAGACCTATTAATGTACTGTGCCCACTTTGATCTAAGCAGGACTCAGGTCCACATAAGAATGTTGCCATGGAGATTGAGACTACAGCTTCCAGAATAGTAGGAGGCCATGAGTATGATTATCTACGAGAGATTTCAGAGCCTGTAAAAGTAAAAGTGGGGGCGGGGAAAATAATTTATACATATGCTTTCTTCTTCATATGTATCTATTTAGTTTTGCAGTGGCTCCTGGGATAAGATGCTAAAGATCTGGTCTACAGGTATACATTTTTTTTTTTAATAATTTGACTTATTAATGATGTTTCTATAATTTCAGTGAGGGACTTTTATAGTTCATATGTGCTGTAAAAATAGACCATTGTGTTTTAGTATATACAAAAAGAAGTGTGATATGAATTTCTGTTTTAAGTTTTTTTTTTTTTTTTTTTTTTTTTTTTTTTTTTTTTTTTTCGAGACAGGGTTTCTCTGTGTAGCTCTGGCTGTCCTGGAACTCACAGGGTAGTCCAGGCTGGCCTCGAACTCAGAAATCCGCCTGCCTCTGCCTCCCAAGTGCTGGGATTAAAGGCGTGCGCCACCACGGCCCGGCCTGTTTTAAGTTTTTAACAGTCAATGGATTGCTACATATATGACAAATGTGTCTTAGATCTCAGACTGCACTGAAGCGCGTATTATTTTAAATGATTATCGAGTAGCTGGAGAGATAGCTCAGTGATTTAAGTCCCTGTTGTTCATGCAGAAGACTCAGATTGAGTGCAAGCACTCACATAACAGCCCTCAGCCATCATCACCTTCAGTTCCTGGGGATCGAACACCCTTTTCTGGCTCCTTGGCACCAGGCACACATATGGTACACACACACACATTCAGGCAAAACATGCATAAAAGAGAAAAAGTTTACAGCAGGGTCTTGTATAGATCCCTTACTATCCTGGAACCTGGCACTGGCTGTATAGACCAGCCTGAAGTCAAATATGTGATCCTCCTACCTTTGCATCCCAAATTTAGGGATTACAGTCATGTACCATTTTTGAAAATATAGATTAAAAACACAGTTGGAGGAGGAAGGATTCTTGAAAGAAGTTAGGAAATGCTAATGGAAGAAAAAGAAAGGGGAAACTCACCAAATTTTTTTTAAAAAATTGGTTTAACTTGTTTTCTTTTTGTGAAATATGTGCTCTTCTGTTGTATCGGGTAAATGAGGTACTATTAGGTACCAGCTGTTAGCAGTTTCATATGTATATCTTTTGATTTTATTTTTTTTTTGTTTGTTGAGACAGGGTTTCTCTGTGTAGCCCTGGCTGTCCTGGAACTCACTCTGTAGACCAGGCTGGCCTCGAACTCAGAGATCACCTGCCTCTGCCTCCCAAGCGCTGGGATTAAAGGCATGCGCCACCACTGCCCAGCTGAAGTACATCTTCCAACCAGTTTTTACCCCATTTCCTGCGTGGTATAAATATAATATGGCCATAACTTAATCTGAATTGAGTGGGGAAACAGTTTTTACTAGTTATGACAAAATGGTACATATTCATAACAATGACCATAAAGACAGTAAGTTTTCAAACTGGTTAATTTTGAGTTTTTTAATATGCTTTAAAACAAAAAAAAGTACTTGTCTATGTTTGATTGCTAATTCAGGTCATAGTTTTGTTTTTGATGATACTACGGGTTGAGTTTAAGACCTCATGCATTCTGATCAGGTGCTTTAGCACTGAGCTACAACACCCCCCCACCCCCCAGGGATCAGATAGTGTTTCTATATACCTTTTTATGTTAACCAAAATAACAAGGAATATATATTACCTAATAAGTGAAAAAAGAAAGAAAACTGTATAGCCAGAAAATAAGACATTCTTCCAGTTTGCCATTAATATTGACTAAATTTTTCAGTATTAATTATTATTCTTTATGATGCAGTCCCTACAGATGAAGAAGATGAAATGGAAGAACCCACAAATCGACCAAGAAAGAAGCAAAAAACAGAACAATTGGGACTAACAAGAGTAAGTTTTGATTTGTTTTGTTTTGGGAGGGATTGTTTGTTTCCCAGGACAGGGTTTCTCTGTGTAGCCCTGGCTGGCCTGGAGCTCACTCTGCGCTCACTCTGTTCTCTGTGTAGCCCTGGGTGTTCTGGAACTCACTCTGCACTCGCTTTGTTCGAGATCCACCTGCCTCACCATCTCCCGTACTGGGATTAAGGCATCTGTTTTTCTTGTTTTGTTTTAATTAAAATATAATCACATCCTTTTTCCCTTCCCAATCCACAAAACAGTTCATGATATGATAAACCCAAGTTCTATTGAAAACGGGAATGAACTTATTTCGACCTTGTAATAAGATGGCTTTTAATCCTAAGATGGAGTCGGCCTGGTCCATTAGGACATAGACATCAGGTCACCTGGGGCCAGAGTTAGGTTGTGAGCAGCCTGGCTGGGGTTTGGGAACCAAACCTGGGTCTTCTGGAAGAACAGCAACTACTCTTAACCACTGAGCCATCCCTCCAGCCCTAAACTAATGATTTTTATTTTTTGCTTGTACATTTATTTAGGGTGGGGGTTTGACTGAGCCAAGGTGCATGTGTGGAAGGCAGAGTTGTGGGAATCAGTTCTTTCCTTCCATGATGTAGGTTTTGGAGATTGAACTTAGGTTATCAGGCTTGGGGCAAGGACCCTTTCCTTTTGAGCCATCCCTCTGGCCTCCTGACTTCTGCTTTTTAATTTTTAAAAGCATTTTAGTGTGTGTGTGTGTGGGGGGGGCATATGTGTGATGGTCAGAGAACAACTTTTGGGGGTTGTTTCTCCTTTCACTATCTGGGTCCCTGGGATAAACTCAGGCCATCAGCCTTGGCACCATTGACCCCTTCGTATATAAAATAAAGACACAAATGGCTATGTTGGAGGATAACTATAAAAAAAAAGCAAGCCACTGGGCAAAAAAAATCTCTCAATGTACTTTGGACATTAATGTCTACTCTTTTATTTTGGTAAGGTTTCATTGTGTAGCCTTGGTTGGCCTAGAACTCAAGAGTTCCCCTGACCTCTGCCTCCTGAGTGTTGATGTTTACCACCATGGCTGACCCAAAAATTGTCTCTTAGTTAGTCTGTGGTGAAAATGTTTTCTTCTCCTTTCGGGGACTTTTCATTTCTAGACACCCTTGGTGACTCTTTCTGGCCACACAGAAGCAATTTCCTCAGTCCTTTGGTCAGATTCCGAAGAAATCTGCAGTGCATCTTGGGATCACACAGTTAGAGTGTGGGATGTTGAATCTGGCGGTCTTAAATCAACTCTGGTAAGAAGACTTAATTTTGGTGTTGCTCTAATTAGAGATCTTTTTGGTAACAAATTTCTAAAGGTGGGTGCATTTAGCCCACTGTGGTTAAATGTTCTTTCTTTTTATTTTTCAGACAGGAAATAAAGTGTTTAATTGTATTTCCTATTCTCCCCTTTGTAAACGTTTGGCATCTGGAAGCACAGACAGGCATATTAGACTGTGGGACCCCCGGACTAAAGGTAGGTTCTATCCAGTGGGGAGTGTTGAAAAAAATTAAAAGATAAGTTTCTACAAATATTCTTTAGGTATGTTCTGCTTTTCTTTCCTAAAATTCATTGCATTTTCTTTTTCTTCATTCAGATGGTTCTTTGGTGTCGCTGTCCCTCACCTCACATACAGGCTGGGTAACATCAGTGAAGTGGTCTCCTACCCATGAGCAGCAGCTGATCTCAGGCTCTTTAGATAACATTGTGAAGCTATGGGATACAAGAAGGTAAATGTTGGGATTGGAAACATGGTTTAGTAGTTAAAAGCACTTGCTGCTCTTGCAGAGGACCTGGCTTAGGTTCCTGGCACACACATCTGACAGCTTAAAACCACCTGTAATTCCATCTCCTGGGGACCTGATGCCTCTGGACTTCGAGGGCAAACACATACGTATATACGCCACACAGATACATACATACACATAACTAAAAAATAAATCTTAAAAGTAAACCTGATTATGATCTGCAAAACAGATATATCAATTATCATTACATCCAGAGAATGAAATAAATATTCAAATGCATATTCAGTTATACTACTTAATATGACAAATACTAATACTCAAAAAGTTTCAGAATTGGTTTGGAGGGACAGCTCAGTAAAATATTTACCTTGTACACACATGAGGGCCCTGGAACCCAAATGAGAAAAACAGACTAGTAGATGTGTTTGTAATCTTGGCACTGGGGAGACAAAACGGGAATCCTTGCAGACTGCCAGCTAGCTAGCCTAGCCTACTTGGTGTATCCCAGGCTAGTGAGAGAACTTGTCTATAGCACTTGAGGAATGATACCCAGGCTTGTCCTCTTACATACATGTTTACCTGTACATGCATGTGCACACAAGTATACATACAAAGCCCAAAAACAGAGGAATTTTATTCATTTTTTTTTTTTTTTTTGGTTTTTCGAGACAGGGTTTCTCTGTGTAGCCCTGGCTGTCTTGGAACTCACTCTGTAGACCAGGCTAGCCTCGAACTCTTGAATTCAGAAATCCGCCTGCCTCTGCCTCCCAAGTGCTGGGATTAAAGGCGTGCGCCACCACCGCCTGGCGCATGTTAATGGTTTTATTGCTTATTTTTAACCCGTTTTTTAAAAACACCACACAACCTTACAAACCCATTTTTATGACCTTTTAATAAATTAGGAGAAAAGGTTTTGATACCCAGATATTGCCTTTCCAACAATAAATAAATATAGGTGTGTATGTGTACACATATACACATGCATATACACATGAAGCTCAAGGAACAGGTTTGGCTTAGAAATATAAATTATAAATTAATATAAATATAAATTAAGACAATTGGCTAGACAAAGGATATGTAAGCCATGATTTGGAATAAAATTCAAGTACAAAAGTATAAAATGGGCCTTATTGTGAATAAATTTCTGTAATTGGAGAGCATTTTTCTTGAGTATTTGTTGTAGTAAATCCAGCAAAGTTGGAGTAAATCCAGTAAAGTTTTGAGGAAAGTGTTAGTGATTATTCATATGTGTATTGAAACAGTGGACACATAAAACATGTTTGTTCTCACCTTTAGTTGTAAGGCTCCTCTCTACGATCTAGCTGCTCATGAAGATAAAGTTCTAAGTGTGGACTGGACAGACACAGGGGTAAGAATTTACAAATTACTTAGTGAAAAAAAAAAAACGGATAATCCTGATGTTTACAGTTAGCAGGGATTTTTTGTTTTGTTTTGGTTTTTGGTTTTTCAAGACAGGGTTTCTCTGTGTAGCCCTGGCTGTTGGAACTCACTCTGTAGACCAGGCTGGCCTCGAACTCAGAAATCCACCTGCCTCTGCCTCCCAAGTGCTGGGATTAAAGGCGTGCGCCACCACTGCCCGGCTGTTTTGTTTTTCAGAGCAGGGTCTTAGTCTGTAGCCCTGGCTGTCCTAGAACTTGATATATAAATCCAGCTGGCCCAGAACTCTAGAGAGCTGCCTATCTGTTTTCTGTCACCACTGTCCAACTTAAAAGTTAGCCATTTTATATTTCTAATTTTTATTTTATTTTTTTTACATCCTGTACCAAAAAAATAATTTGCTCCTTGATAGCTTAGAGTATTAAAAATTGGAAAAAAAAAAAACCAGGTATTTTTTTTCCTTCATGAATATCATTTTACTTCTTTTAGCATTCCAGAGAACTCTAGGGTTCTCACTGTGCTAGGCAAGTCACCTGCCAATTGGTTATACAGCAGCCTTCTTTTTCCTTCCTGTTTGTGATAACAGGGTCTCATAGAGCCAGGCTGTCTTTGAGTGTACTGTATAGCTGAGGATGACCTCGAGCTGACTCCCTGTCTCAGTCCAATGCTGAGGCTATAGGCATACACTAGTCCTCTTTTTCTTATTTTTTCTTATTTTGGCATAGGATGTGACTAAATTGCCCAGGCTAGCTTGAAATTTACTCTAACATAGGCAGCCCTTAAACTTGTGATCCTCTCAGCTTCAGTATCTATTATAGGCCTATGTTGGCCCAGGTACCTCATGAATATATTAATGAGACATTAGTTACTAATCCCATTAGGTCCATAAATTCACCACTTCAGACTAATGGTATCACGGCTTTTGAGTTTGTTGGTTTTTTTTGTTTTTTGTTTGTTTGTTTGTTTGTTTTTTTGTTTTGAGGGAGACGTGGTTTTGCTGTGTAGCCCTGGCTGGCCTCAAGCTCACAGCAGCCTCCACTTTCAGCTTTCTAAGTGCTGAGATTGCAGATGTATGCTACAATGCCCAGCTAGGGATATTTTACATAATATGGATTATATTTTAAAATGTGCATACATAAGTTCTTGTCTGAGAATTCTTTCCAGATGTAGGTCCTAGAGCTGCTGGACAATTTGCATATGCTTTTGCCTGAAAATAATACACTAGCTTTTAAAGACTTGATTATTTCTGGGTGTGGTAACTCAGACCTGTAACCCCAGTACTAGGAAGGCTGAATCAGGAAAATTGCTGCAAGTTTGAGGCCAGCTTATGGTATGGTGTGAATGAATACTTGTCTTCAGAAAACATTCCTTACCCGAAATGCTTTAGATAGGAAGCATTTCAGATTTTGGAATATTTGCACATTTATGAGATATTTTAGAATGGAACCCAACTCTAAATGCAAACTTGCCTTTGGCTTCTTTTGTATCTTATACACATTGTCTGAAGCTGATCTTATAAAAGAACGTGCCTGTCTTTTGACTGTGACCTGTCACATCAGGTCAGGTGAGAGGTTATATACTTGTGGCATCATGTCAGTACTCAAAAAACTTCAGATTCTAGCACTTTGGGATTTTTTCTGGTTGGGGTGTTTGCTTTTGCTGTTGGCTATTGGCCAGAAGCCTCACATGTGCTTAGCATGTAAGCTACAGCTCACCTGTGCTCAGCTCTACCTGTGAGCTACATTTCCAACCTACACTGAAGAATTTTGGAATGAAGATGCTTAACCTATAATAGAGAAGTTTGTTCTAATTGTCCCCTTAAATACTGTTTCAAGCTGGGCCATTTTACATACATATATAAAATCATTTATATGTATATATGACATGAAAGGAAGACAGTTGGGAAGGGAGGGAAAAAAGCAAAGGAGGGTCTGGTTGGGAAGTATGGTCAAAATACAGGGTATACAGACTTCCAGGAAGAATGTCTTCACAGGTGTGGTTGTGCATGACTTTAATCCTAGCACTGGGGAAGCAGAGAGTGACAGATCTCAGAGCTTAAAGCCAGCCTGGTCTACAGAATGAGTTCCAGAACAGTCAAAGCTACAAAGAGAAACTGTCTTCAAAAACAAAACAAAAAATCAGTCATATTTAATAGTGTCTGGCTACTGTATATATTTACTTTTTTCTCTTTCTTTTTACACAGCTACTTCTGAGTGGAGGAGCAGACAATAAATTGTATTCCTACAGATATTCCCCTACCACTTCCCATGTTGGGGCTTGAAAATGAATGGCTGATAAGAGACTTTCTTGTTGGGTTTTGTTTTAATTCTTAGTGTCTCACTGTTGTCATAAACTATGAATGAAATTGGAAAGAGGATTTGGAATATAGCTCAGCTGGTAGAGTGCTTCCCTAAAATTCCAAAGCCCTGCATACTATTTCCAGCACTGCCCAAAAAAAAGTGGTCATGGGCCGGGCAGTCGTGGTGCACGCCTTTAATTCCAGCACTTGGGAGGCAGAGGCAGGCAGATTTCTGAGTTTGAGGCCAGCCTGGTCTACAGAGTGAGTTCCAGGACAGCCAGGGCTACACAGAGAAACCCTGTCTCAAAAAACAAAAAAAAACCCCAAAAAACCCAAAAAGTGGCCATGGTAGTACATTCCTGTAATCCTAGGTCCTGAGAGGAATTGGAGGCAAAAAAAAAAAAATCAAAAGTTCAAGGTCACCCTCAGCTGTATAGTGAGCTTAGAGGCAGCCAGCCATGGTTACTTGAGGCTGTCTCAGTAAAAAAGAAATCAATGGAGGGTAATCCTCTGATACCATTGTCAATGCAGAGACCAGAAGCAGCTTTTTAAAAATTTGGATAACAGTTCATCTTTCATAATGGCTACATTTTACTATCTTTGTCGTTCATGTTTATAAAATGCAATAAATATATGCCCTGAATTCTCCTCCTTCTGCAGACTCCTAAAACTTGAATTGTAAAGTATACTTTTTAAAAGGGATACATTTTCAAATATAGTGACTTGTTTTTTTTTTTTTTTTTTTAATTTCTTGGCTTTTTAATTAGCTATTTGAAGAAAAACATCTAGAAAAGACTAATAATGCTATAGGAGCCAGGCATCCTAGCACACACTCATAACCCTGACATTTAAGAAGTAGAAGCAAGGGGCTTCGGACTTGAGTTAGGGTCGGCTTCATAACTAGTTCAAATCAGGGTCAGGATGAAACTCAAAAAAAAAAAAAATAAGGAAAATGAAAACTTATAGGAGGGTCATTAAGATGAGTCAGTGGGTAAAGATGCTTGTTCAGATCTCAGGTCTGAAAGAATCCACTCCTGCAAGTTGTCCTTTTGCCTCCATACACATGCTGTGGCTTGCACACAACTAACCTGTAAGTAAATTGTGAAAAAAAAAAATGTTTATAAAAGTATGGAAAAAACAGTTATCTAACATTAAAAAGCAAATAGTAAAAAAAAAGGGGGGGTTAAAAAACACTAAAAAGTAGTATGTATAAGAAAATAAGACGCCGGGCGGTGGTGGCGCACGCCTTTAATCCCAGCACTTGGGAGGCAGAGGCAGGCGGATTTCTGAGTTCGAGGCTAGCCTGGTCTACAGAGTGAGTTCCAGGACAGCCAGGGCTACACAGAGAAACCCTGCCTCAAAAAACCAAAAAAAAAAAAAAAAAAAAAAGAAAATAAGACTGTGTTGAGTGTTTAAAGCATTAAAATAATGTAAATATTAATGTGTTAATCCATTGAATAGCAGGGCAGTGGTGGTGTACACCTTTAATCCTAGCTCTTGGGAAGCAGAGGCAGGTGGATCTTTGCAGGTTCGAGGACAGCCTGGTGAGTTCCAGGACAGCCAGGGATAGACAGAGATCCTATCTCAAAAGCTATTAAAACAAAAAAAAAGAAAGTCTTTCCTGACTTAACTGTCTGGGCTGATAATGCGTATGCATAGCCTAAATGAGTACAATTAAGGTGAAAAGGCCAGGCTGGAGAGGCAGCTCAGCAGTTAAGAGCACTTGCTGCTCCTGCAAAAGACCTGTATTCCATTTCCTGCATCCATACGGCAGCTCACAACTCTCTGCAGCTCCATTTCCTGGGAGTCAGACACAAATGGTGCACATCCATGCATTCAGGCATTCTGAAAAGCAAAGGTGAGGAGGCCCGGGTATCAAGACAGATGGAAGAAAGAATGTGGCATCTGAACTGTCTTTTGCCTAGTCAGTCCCAGTCCTGGTTCCACAACAACCTTATTTCTTTTCAGGCTGTCTCAACAGGGATGCTTGCAAAGCCAGAGGCCTGGTATCACTGACAAGAATTGTATCTAAGCCATTTAATCTGCCATTTAATCTCGGGCTGTTTAAGTGGTTAGAATTTAGTCCCTAAACAGGAAAATAAGAGGCCAACATAAGTTGAACGGCTCTAGCCATCTTTTAATGTGCTTTTCTTTTTCTTCAAAAACTGTCTTCCTTTCCATGGTCCCTTTCCTTCCAGCAGAACCCTGGACTTTTACATGTCTGTCTCTGAGGTTCACTTGGGGCTGCTTGCCTATCACTGGGATAAGCTGGAGCATAGGGATTATATGTGCTGTTTTACAGGAAGGGAGCTGTAGATAGGTCGAGACCAGATCTCCTGCTTAACCAGTGTCTGTTCTTAGTGTTTATAATACTAAATATAATACCCTAAATTTAAAATTCGGCTTAGGCAGTGGAGGCCAACTTAGTGATAGATACCATTAGTTAACATATTTGAGGCCTTGTGTTAAATATGTATGCGTATATACAAATTTAGGCTGAATATACCTAATTAAATTAATTAGGAAGAAACTGAATGTTGTTAGGGATTGGAAAGGGAAAAAGCACAAAGTGTAAGAGGCAGACATTAGAATTTAGCCACACTGATGTCCCAAGTGCAGAGAAAGAAAGGGATAGTAGAAAAAGGGTGTAAACAGCAATGAGAAGTAAATTAGCTCTCAAGAATCTCATTGAGTGGCAGCTGAGCCACATCTGGACAGGGGAAAGAGGGTGCAGGTTGTTTCCAACTGAGGGAGGCACAGAAAAGTCCTAAATACCAGCTTGAATACTGTTAGGGAGGAAGTGTACATAACACTTCATACACCAGGAAATATTACTTCCTCTCAAGCTACCTTTAGATTCCTAGAAGGAACGATATTTTATCATGGAAAAATATGAAAATAAAACCTTGCTTTATCTGGAGAAGGCCCAGTGGAAGCAAGGCATTTAAATTTTATATTTTATGTAGAATACAGAAAATACCCTCTTCCTTTGGAATTAGAATTCCATTTGGAACTGAAGTATGCATAGCCATATATCTATGCCTTCCAGGTTCTAGGAAATGATGAATGTTTAATTTGGTTTTTGTGCTATGATAAGATCCTATGACCAGGGCTGGAGAGATGGCTCAGTGATAGGAGCACTGACAAAGTCCTGAGTTCAATTCCCAGCAACCACATGGTGGCTCACAACCATCTATGATGAGATCTGATACCCTCTTCTGGTGTGTCTGAAGACTCTGACAGTGTACTCACATACATAAAATAAATAAATCTTGTAAGAAACAAAAGATCCTATGACCAAAGCAACTAATGAAATATTTGGGACTCAGAATCATTAACTGCAGATCCAGGTGCTCCGGTGAAAGAAGTGACAATTTCTGATCTGATGCATATACATAAAGGCAAAGCAAATCTTTTAAAATGGAAAGATCACACTGGGCATGGTGTCCAGTGCCTTTAATCCAGCACTCAGGAGGCCAAGGCAAGTAGATCTCAGAGCTTGGGGGTCATCTTGGTCTACATAGTGCCTTCCAGGCCAGCCAGGGTTACATACTGAGACCTTGTCTTAAACTAAGAAAAAGAAAAACAAACCTTATTACCTGTTTGGATCTCATTTGTGATTCCACATGTCAAGTCATCTTACTTTTCAGTCTTTTTTTTTTTTTAAACCATGCTGCCTTACTTTTTAGTTGTGTTGGGGGCAGGGTTGTTTTCTGGTGGGGTGTTTTTGCTGTTGTTGTTTATTTCTTTACAGACTGTTTCTCTCTGTAACCCTTGCTATCCAGACCCGGCTGACCTTAAACTCACAGATCTCTGTCTGCCTCTGCCTCTGCCTCTTGAGTGCTGGGATCAAAGGCACATACCACCACGCCCAACTCTGCTTTCCTCGTTTCTTAAGGCACTAGTATAAGTCACTTAAACACCCTGATCAATCCTACCAGTTGGAGTATTAATTCACTTTATAAAAAGGACTATCCTGAGGAATTCCTGATTACTGCCCAGAAGTGTCATCAGTAGTTCATCATGGTTTGCCAAGAGACATTTCCACACTCGTGTCACTGCTTCCTAGTGATCTGTGACACAAGTACTTGAAAACACTGTCCCTCTTTCTGTAACATGCCTTGATTTAGTGAGAAACCTACCAGGACTGCTGACTTCCTGCTGTGACCTTGGCAAGCCTTTCTGTGTCAGGTAGAGCAGGGAAAGATAGCTTGTCCTCCTGAATTCAGTTGTAACTGTTGGAGAGAAAGTATTACCTAAAATAGCCCAAGAAACAAGCATACCATTGACATGGTAACATCCTAGTTGTTTTGCTTACTGTTTCCGAGTCATTTGTTCCTTGGAATGATGTCTAATTCTGTTTAGGTACTATGTCAGCTGGCCATTAGACCTTTTTGTTTCAGTCATTGGTAGAATAAACATTGATTAGGGACCTAAGTTTGCATTAGGCACAGTACTAGGAGACAAGGCTGCAGAGATACATAAGAATGGAACAGCAAAGCATCTAATGGAAAGAACAGACTGGTAGATAAATATGGTGCTAGTGTTCTGTGTGACTTCCTAGGGAAATGTAAACAGCATCTGTTCACTGTAGACAAGGCTGACAGTGGACCATTAAAGGAGTCCACTAGCTTAGCAAAGCAGTGAGCTTAGGTTACTTTCTAGAAGCATGGGTAAGGGTAACTTATAGGAGCATGAATGACACAATGACAGTTAAGTCACCAAAAAGTCCCTCAGCGTGGTGACAACTCCCAAAAGCCACATGCCTAGAGCTCCCTGCTAACCTGCTGGCAGTCATACTCGGTCTCTTCTCAGAAGCAACTGTTTGCTGCTTTCCTAACCTTGGATCTTGATGAGCCTCTTGAGTCTTGTGAGACTATTTTCCAGAAAGGGAGATTTGAATTCTGAGGAAACTGCTAACAATACTGAGACAGTTTTCTGACGAGTTCTTGCCTTGCCCTCCCCACGAATGGGGTGGATGTATACCTAAGGCAAAGCAATGG